AATGTATATATTTTTATATATATTTTAATTATCTAATTTTGTGTTTTTTTAATCTATTTTATTAATTTTATTATTACATTTTCTCTCACTAATTAAGATCGATTGACTGATTGACAATCCTCAGTACACTGCTGTCTTTTGTAAAGACCACACAGGTTGGTTTCATCAATCATTCTTCATCTGCATCCGTAGTTTTGAAGCAACGCATGCGTCAGGCAGGTAAATTTAATTCTCCTGTAGCATTTGATTGTGGAGTCATGCAGTTTCCATCAAAACTGTCTTCAGGCAGGTTTAAAACAGACTCACCAGAATTTCCTCGGCCTTCCAATTCGGAAAGGTGAGCACGGCATGTTGCTGGGCTGTGCTGTTACAGTTTTGCCGTCGGAGAATTTCAGCTCTCTGCTCTAATTTCCAGTCACATCCTGTCCAACATACAGAACCTGGAGGAAGATTTGGACTTTGGCTCTCCCAGTGTTTTTTTTTTTTTTGTCTTTTGAAATCTAACTTTTGTCCTTGGGCTCAACAGAGTGAGGAGTCCTCTCTAAAAGCAGCTGTTTGTGAAATATCTGATGCCACTGTCACTGAGTCTTCATCCTGGCAACACAGCTTTTGTTGTTAGAAATTGGTCTGTCCTGCTGGGTGTGAACACTGATGATTATTTAATATCACTCAAGTTCTATTAACACCGTGGGAAGGATCCTTCGAATTCATGCAGGAGTGCATGACTCTGACAAAGGGACAAAGCTGAGAGGACCAAGTGTGACTCTGTTGAACTCTGATGTATTAGTTTTGCAGACATCACACTCTTCTTCCTCTTCCTGTCATGTCACCTCATCCACTCACTTCCTTTGTCTTTCTTCCTCCTCTTCACACCCACAATTCTTATATCTCCTGTGCTGTTTTGTATCCTCTTTTAGATTCTCCTCTTCATCCTCATTTTGCTCCAGTCCTCTTTCCTCTTCTTTCTACCATTAGGTGCAGTCGTTCTGTTACAGTCTGATGCAGCAGCAGCCCGACAGCCAGAGTGCAATCCCTGCAAACAAGCCCAGCCACTGCTGAGTAATGCAGGCCTCACTGCTAAGAGGGATCCACACGTATCTGTATTCCAGAGGGATGGAGTGATGATACTGCGGCGAGGCACTGTTTAACCTGCAGAAGGCGGAGGGCCAGACACTCGTGCCACCACACCTAAAGCATTCAGCCGTGGAGAGGTCTATCTGCAGTGGCAAGAGGCGTGCATGCTCAGCTCTCTGCCTGCCTCCACGTGCCACTCACAGCAGCACTCAGACCTTGCCAGCACTGCAGAGATAGCAGCACGTACCGGGTATGTGTTTCCCCTCTGCTGCCCATCTGTTCTGCCTTTCACTGGCTCATTCATCTTACTTTCACTCGACTCGGTGCACTGATTCACACGTTTAAAAACTTACAAGGCCAGTCTGAGCCGGTGACATTGAACACTGCTCCAGAGAGCAACATAAAACTTGTTCTGTCATAACTTACCACATTTATTAACAAAAATAAAAACAGGAGATAACTCACCATAAGCTTCTGGCCTTGGAGAAGGTCTTGTCCACCCTAGAAAACAAACATAAAAGTACTGCTATTATAAACAGCAATTACATATTGCTTTAAAAGTCATTTCATGACATTCTGTGCATCTTTGATTACAGTTAATCTGTATCAAAAACAATCAAAATTGACTGAAAATTGTTTGGCAAATCTATGAAAACAACAGGGTGAGGAATTCAACATTTAAAGTTGGCTAAGTGCTAATCGCTCCACAAATAGCAACAATAATTTAAATATAGATACAAATTAGAAAACATCAACACCATGTGACACATGAAGGTATACTGCACTTATACTATATTATATATATTATATATTATTATATATATATTATATAATAGTTTCCATGCTCTTGCCTGCATACATCTAAATGTAAAGCCACTAGACTCCATTTACATAAGCAATCATTTTATCATCACAAAAAAAAGTCTGTCTTGGTTCATCTTTCCACTGTTCCAAGAACCACCAACTCTGCTTTGACTGAAATAAACCCTTAATTCACAGGGTGAGATGTGAAAATATGCTGTCTCTACATACACTAAAATTACTGCTTTTCTGAATGGAGTGGTGGCTTCGGTGTTAGCGACTTTGTGGCTGTTTCATTAAGGATCCTCTCCATAATCTTGCCAGACACTTAGAATAACAATCTGAGCCTTTCAGTGGCAAAAACAAGCACTTTTAGTGGCCATAAATTGACACTACAGAGCCTATGCCCCGAGTGGTTACATTGCAGCCTGATTCAAATTCTGTGGCTCGACCGATTTTGTAACCTGATCAGATATTTCAGCTGTATTACCACTGCAAAGGTTCTTAACATTGCCATGTGTTGTGTTTTGACAATTGTTAGAAAAGGGATACCATCAGATGTATTTTTCAATCCAGTGTTTTTTCTATTACAATATCATAGAACATCAGAATATTGTCACAGTTGACCGAGACCAAAGTGACTTCTTCAAACATCTTGTTTTGTACAACCAAATAGTCCAAACACAAAGATATTCAATTTACGATATAAAACAGACAACAGCTGCAAATCCCAGACATCAAGTGTTGGGAGCCTCTGTGTATATTATATCTGTCTCTAGCTGAACACCATACAACCACTTGTCCTGTTAAGGGTCACAGGGGGCTGGAGCCTATCCCAGCTGACACTGGTTGATAGGATGCACCCTGGACAGGTCTCCAGACTATCACAGGGCTGACACATAGAGACAGACAACCAATCACACTCACATTCACACCTTTAGGGTGACCAATTAATCTGCATGTCTTTGGACTGTGGAAGGAAGCTGGAGTACGAGAAATATGGTCAGGGTTGAAAAATACAAAGTATACTAATAATAAGTTACCCTTTAAGTGTGGAAAGCACAGAGGAACAGTGGACCATCCTTTCGACATACTAGAAGTCGAATGAACCGAGAGAGGCTGGTTATGCAGTGTGCTGGGTTACCCTGAAATAACTCCTGCCATCTGTTAAAGTAGCATCTCTGAGGATGAAAGCATGATTACTAGCTTGGTGTTTCTTGAGACAGAATGAGTCTTGTCCTGGTTTGAAATCGCACTGTGAGGCTCATTACTCTCTGTCAGTCAAGAACTGACTATCATCTGTCCTCAAATCGCCCTGGATAAACAGATTTGAGCAGTAATCACTGGGAACAACAACAAGTCGATGCAGCATTGGAAACTCAAGAGAGATGCACAGTGTCATTTCTGCCAACAGATGGCACTGTGTGTGCAGGAGAAACCTCACGCCTGACAAGTGAAAAACTGAGCTTTGCTTCTGTTCATCAACCAGAAAGCCATCTATCAAGATATTTAAGTCCACACAGCAGGCATTTTAACAACCTGACACACATAAAGCACTGAGTACTTCTAATCGTAAAGCATCACAATCATAAGCACACACTATATCACTCTTGGGATGCAGCACTTAACTTCACAGGCAAAAACAAAGAGGATATTTGATACTGATAACTGTTGCACCATGGCCCAGTGAATGACTCATGGCTGCAGGCCTGTCTCTTGTGATAGCTGGTGCTGGTGACACAGGGAAAAGGGAATGTTTAGTATGTGTCTCAGGACTCCCGCAGCTGCCTCCAAGGCCGTGTATCGACCCCTCGGAGATTCTCAGGATGACACACCACCAAACAGCACAAAAGCAATTCATAATACAAACAAGCCTCAAGCTGTAAGGTTTCCTTTACGCTGTTTTCCATCCTTGCTGTTGACCCTGTCTCCTGTGACTGTATGTTCATCTCCTTCCCTTGAGCAAAAGCTACAGACTGCTGTCCACCCTGTGTAAGCCGCCAGAGTTCCGGCCTTTTACTCATCTTTCCCTGGACATGATTAGTTTGCATGACACAGCAATGCCCGAAGGAAATCAAACAACCACTTCTGGAAAGAGAAGTGACTCTTCCTGTATCAGAAAAAAGGATTAAAAACAGGATTTAAGAATCCACAGGAATGCCAGTAGCTCTGAGAGGCTGCACTCAGGCACAATGGTGCTCTGAGCCAAGCATCAGCACAGTGTATACAAGTTTGGACTGGACTTTAACAGAAGACAATCAACAAGTGTGTACTATGACCCACAGATATCTCACTATCCACACACATGACTTAATCTATAAACATAGATTTTAATAGCTTATTTACAATTACATGACTGTTATGATGTGCAAAATCCAAATTGAGGGCAGGAAGTTATGAATGCATATACTGTGTGAATTGGAAATAGAGGAACGTGACTACATCAAAGGTCCAGATGAACCTGCAGGCTGCAACAGAAAATTCAAAGTCATGTTGGATGTGATCCATCTAAAACAACTTGAATGATTTCCCCTGTGTGGACCATAGACTGTATAAATAACGGATGTAGCTACCGTGACATCACCCATTGACGTGTGGACTGCCGTTTTGAAGCCTCAAATTCAGCCTTTCAGCCATCACCACCTTGGTTATTTGGTGTCTGTATTTGAGTAAGAGGTTAGAGATGTGGAGGTGCGAGGGGTGGTAGCGAGGCCTAGCAAACAGCCTGTCAATCAAGCGGCCCCTGCTTTTATATATGCGTAACTTTGGGCCTTAATAAAATGTAAACAGGTGATTTATTAAAAAATTACATCCCTTACAGTTGTCATAAATGTTACATTTAGCTGTACAGGCCCAAACTGGTTTTTGTACCAGGCTGTAAACATGTTTATTTCTGCTGTAAAGTTGGGCATTTCAGCATGGGGGTCTCTGGGGATTGACTCACTTTTGGAGCCAATCTCAAGAGGCCATTTAATGAACTGCAGTTTTTGGTACTTGAGCATTGGCCAAGCCTTGGAGGTTGACACTTGGTGTGGACGCTATATTGTCGAAATAAATTAAGCAACCTCGTCCTCCAGACCTCCTGATGTTCCCAATATTACACAGCATATCAATGAAGGTGTACAAGAGTCTAGTGGACTCTATTTTGTGTGCAGTGGGTCCACGACTGAAACAAATGCCAACTTGTTTTTGGCTGGGTGAGTAAATGTGCTCGAGTATAATTGTCTTTTATATTTCAGATCTGTACATGGATGCACTTTAGCTGCTAGTTTAAATCTACCTGTTCAACTGTTCCCAGAGGTCTGGTGAAACGCCATATATAAAATCTGGGTCAGGGTTTAAAATCTGAAGAACTTGTCACAGCACACTGATTTTGCACTCAACTTGAAGCATGTCTGAGACAACGCTTCAACGTTAACATTTGACATTAGTTGATTCTGCTCCTCCAGACTGAAGAAGGAGGTTTTTGATCCACATCTGTCACTGTTTATTAGTGAGCTGTTTTATAATACCTCTCCCGTTTACCTCCTATTATTTTAAGGACCTACAGTGGCTCTTGTTTTCCCAATTTGATCAACTGAAACAGCCATAGACAACACAAACCATAGGCATTTGCCTCCAGTTGCCAGCCCTCCATTTGGACAGCACACCAAAGAAGCTATTTAACATAAAATGATAAAGGTTTTATACATGTAAAATGACATGTTAAATCCAAGTAGCAACCTCTGAGGTTGAGCAATGAAGCCAAGGTGGAAGTGCCAAAAACTGCAGTTCATCAAACGACCACTTGAGGCTGCCTCCAAAAGTGAGTCAATCCCAATAGACCTCCATGTTAAAATATCAAACTTTACAACAGAAATAAACATGTTTACAGCCTGGTACAGAAAACAGTTTTGGTTTAGCTAATTTCAACATTCATGATAACTGTATAAGGGGTGAATTTTGTCACCCATTTACATTTTATTAAGGCCCAAATTTACACATATTGCTTGATTGACAGGCTGTCTGTGAGGCCTCGCTACTGGTTGCTGGAGTCTGTGAGTCGGACCCACCTCTCGCTCCTCCACAGCTCCAGCCTCTTGTCCAAATACGGTCGCTTCTAGCTCCAAAAAGCCAAGATGGCGACGGCCGAAATGCTGAACTCGAAGCTTCATAACGGCAGACGGCCACAAACCAATGGGTGATGTCTCAGTAGCTATGTGTACACTGTTTATACAGTCTATGGTTAAGTCATATTTACACATATCTGGATCAATTTTTACATGTGAAATGGGTTTTGCGTATTTGTGG